GGATCGCGTCGAGAAATTTTTTTAAAAAATGAAACTATATGTATTAATATTCTTAACGTACTCAAACAGATAATAAAAAAAATAAAAATCAGGACCTAAAGAGGTGCGTCTTTTCTTATTTCGCCCCGCGGGATCACACTACTCGTCACACTACTGCCATTGAAGGTGTCTTGCTGCAGGAGGGGCGACACGGACGCGTCCCACACTTGGTTTTGGGCTCTTCTTCCAGCGCGCTAGCGACCGGGGCCGGGGCCGGGCTTGGGCTTCCAGGGCAGCCAGGGCCCGCAACATAGCGACTCGGGCCAGAAGCCGGGAGATCCGGGGCCGGCGGGTGGCGCCTGGGACGGCGCCGGGGCCGGCGCGGGAACAAGGTCGGGGACCTGCAGGACCGACGGGTAAACAACTCTGAATTAGGTGTACAAAATGGTTACGAATTACTTTTTGGTCTGCAATACAGAGTGTGAATTGGTCTGAACTGAATTTGAATTGAATTAGTGGTGTACACCAGAAATGGTCAGTTGTTTACCCCTCGTCCTCGTGTGGGACCCGGGGGGGAGAGAGAACACACGTTTGTGTCTCCTATTTGATTTTTTAAAAAGGCCTCAATTATTTCCTCCGCGTCTATAAGAAATATGTTTGCTGGTCTAAGTGAGGGGAGGTGATTACAGGTACTTGAGGGTGGGCTGCCGGGGCAGCCCCGGGATGGAAGCCAAGTGCTCGGTGATGAAGGAGCGAACGCCGACGGGCGCCGAGGCCCCCGACGTGCTGATGCTCCAGCCCTGCGACTGCACGGCGTTCATGTCCAGGCAGGTGGCGTTGACGGTGGACGCGGCCGACGCGGCGCCCTCGCCCAGGAAGGAGTAGGACAGCGCGTAGGACATGCCGAGGGCGCCGCCCGTGTCCCTGCAGTTGGACCAGCCGACGCTCACCGAGTTGCTGAGCGCGGGCTTCCCCGGCTCGGTGCCGGCCGTGCCGAGCGAGTACGACAGGCTGGACTCGGAGTGGCCCGGGTTGAGCGCCACGTCGGAGGTGCTCGTCGTGTTGGTGAGCGCGCCCGACGCGGACGAGCTGCTGACCGTCATGGGCCGGACGTGACCCAGCCCCAGCGGTGGCCGGCTCGTCGCCGGTGTCGCCGGCGTCGTAGGCGTCGCGGCGGTCGCGGGGGTCGCGGGCGTCGACGATGACCCCGGGTACACGCCGGTCGGCAGCGGCCAGGGCTCTGGCGCCGGTGGAGTCGGCGTCGTCGGCCGGTGCGTCGGCGGGCTCGGCGGTGGCGCTGGCATCGTCGGCGGCGTGGGTGGCGTCGGCGTCGTCGGCACGGTCGGCGGCGTGGGCATGGTGTGCCAGGTCACGGGTGAGGGCGATGCCGGGGTCGGAGACGCCGTCGGAGGCGACGCGACGGTCACTTGGGTGGGCGCAGTCGGCTGCGGCGGCCACGTCGGCCACGGGGTCGGGCTCGGCGCCGGGGGGGCCGCCTCCGACGTGGCCGGGTGGGGAGGCCTGGCCGTCACGGGCTGGGGGTTTACCTTTTCGAAGATCCAAGCGTAGGCGACGCTAATCTTGATGGCGACGACCGGGCGCTCGGGGCTGCACGGCTGGTACCAGCGCGACAGCACGCCGACGAGCAGCGGATTGTCACCCTCCACGATGACGGGGTCCCCGAGGTCGTACTGCAGACATCAAATACGGCGGGGTTCAGACAGGAGCGTGGCGAGGGGTGAGGTGTCACCTTAAGGAGGGGGGGGGGGCGTGAGAGTGCCGACCGCGCATTTGTCCAGGAACGGCTCAACGGGCTGCGCGCACAGCGTGTCGGCGAGCAGCGTCTCCTGCGACGTGATCCTGGAGCACTCCTCGACCGGCCTCACGGTGGCGTGCGTCACGTTCACCTCCACCTGCTGCGCGGACCCCGGCGGCGACCAGCCGGCTACTGACACGGGCCCATCTGCGGCAGAGAGGACGCCGTCAGCGGGCTGGAGGCCAGGCTGGAGGCCA